TTTTACTGTCTTGTGGAACTCATTGTAGTCACTCATGGCAACCATGGTTTTATCAGAAGTGAGGATCGTTAGCGCTTTTGATAGCTTTCTTGTTGAAATGGAGGAGAATCTGGTCACCATGGCCTGAAACACATTGAAAGGATAGAGAATCACAACACTTGCTTGTTTCGTGTTCATGATGTATATGAAAATATATAGCTGTTATATATACAATGTGAAACAAAGTCAATATTCTGCCCAATTTGGAGCCACATTAAGTGGTCATTTCAGTTTATCAGTCATCTAACACAAGAATATATTACATTATGTGCTTCTTGGGGCGTAATCAGGATTTTTCTTAGAATAGTGTTGGTGGAGGAGGGGAGGAATTACTTATAGTTACTTTTAATACAACAGATCTTCGGTTGGAAAAATTTCTTTAAAACTAGTGAAAAACCTAGGCTCGAAGCAATTGATCTTTCATACATCACATCATTTTTTGTAATAAAAAAAAAAAAAAAAGTGTCTATTAAGACCAATACGATACATACCCCTAATGCGGGCTGGCCGACCCGGTCCAACCCCTTAACCACCAACTTCCCAACATATGAGTTTATAGCACGATATTGATCCACTCAGATAGTCCAACCTAAAGCTAACCCTTAGGTTGAATCATTCGCAACTCAGGGCCATACTTTTTTTTTTTTTTTTTGTAAGGCTCAGGGCCATACCAATTCCATGATTGTCAACCCTATTGTACTATGTTCTGATTAAAAAAACCTTACCTTTACTACTTCAAGTCTGTGTCATTCTATAGAGAGAGAGAGAGAGAGAGAGAGAGAGAGAGAGAGAGAGAGGTGACCTCCTTGGCAACTTCGACGGAGTGAGGACAATGATAGTGTTGGCTCCAGTTTTGATGGAATAGATAGGTCCATAAGTCTGAGCCCACTTCGTAAAGGTCATGTGGGGTTTTTTTTCCTTCAGTTGCAGTAGATTCCCCTAATATCGGTAGCCCTGGTACTTCTGCTCACCAAATCCATCAAATTCCATAAATACATCGTGTTCATTTCTTTTGCTGGATTAGTTGTAGAAGTTCATATAGAATTGAGGAACTCAAAACATTGTTACGAATAGGAAAGACTTCGTTTTAGATTTTGGTCCTAAAAATTTTTTTCGTCAATTGTGCCACATAAATTAGTCGCACTTTTGGTCAGTGCAAACACTACTTTAAACATAGTCAATTGAATGCTTAATATACCTAATGACTAAGAACTAAATAAATGTTTGGTGGTGGACCTATTTGCCTTAAAAAATATATTGATCACAATTCATTGTATGCTCCAATTTGCACCATTTCCCACCACCACCACCTCCTTATCCTCATCCCCACCACCACCTCCACACCTTACTACCGTCACCACAAACTGTTACCAACACAGCGATCACCATCTACCTCCATCACCGCCACCCCCACCCATAATATTGTTGCCGCCATCATGATCCCCTACTATTACTTCATCACTTCACCCAACCACCACCAACACTGCCAGTATCATCCCATCACCAGAGCTGCCACCATCGTTGTAATCACCCTCATCACCATCACCTCCCAGATGGTGGTCTAGTGGCAATGGTGGTGGGGTTGAGATGATGATATGGGGTGGTCATTTTTGTAGTGGCGGTAGGGTGATATATAATTTTCAGACTTTAATTCATTATACTAATCAAGCAAATATCTATCTTTAATAATTAAATTTCATTAATATGAAACAAAGATCAGATTGAAAATTTTTACAGTAAACACCTAAAATATTTGCAGTACATGATTAAAAAAAAAAAGTACCAGGTAAAGGTGGGAGATTGGAAGCTCTCTTTTTGCTATAACTGACATACTCTCTAAGATACCATAAAGAAAGGCCAGCCAAAGCGATTGCCAAACCACTGAAAGCAACTGCAATGATCAAAGGGAATTCTTGAATATCCAGAATTGCTTCCATTAATGCGATTGCTTGGAAGAAAGAGAAGAGATCGAGGAACACTCCAAAGGTTCTGTATGCTTTTGCTTTATGCATCAATGAAACAAAAGCGACCCATATATACACACTCACACAAGTAAACACAAATATGTATACAGGAGAGTCTAAATAATGGCATTATTCTTTGTTGCTTGGTATGGAGATTGATGTGCATGAATAATATTAGATGGTTTGGATCTATATGTGATAAAAGATCAGCAGAGTTTTGGCAGGAAGGTGATGGAAGAAGAAGACAAGGGCTTTCGATGTTTGCTAAAGTTGGGCTATGGCCAGAGGATAAGGAGCCAAAGATTTTTCTCAATTCGTGACAAGGGAGCCGTCCTCAATTTAACATATATTACTCATAGATGAGTTTAGTTTGAACCAATTGGCTTTATACTCATTGCCGCACCAAAGCATAAGCTTATCATGGATTCCATTTTAAGCCAACAAAAATTAATGGCATCATGCATACGAATAAATGTTTCAATGCACCCCCATTTCATCTGAAAATAATTAATGACTCATATATATATATATACACACACACACGCACAGAGAAAGAGAAATGTGCTCTTCCAATATAGTTGCCTCTCCCTCGAAAAGCACAAAACTGTTACATCTTGGACTGAATCCATTGCCTTAATTCAATCCACTTCAATAACAGAAACAAAGAAGGGAATCTGATCAAAGGCAATAATAATAAAGCTTTGATGATAAGGCATATTTGGTCCTTGGTTACGGACAAAGAGTGGACAAAGTGGATCAATGGAATCTACCTAAAAGGTTGTCAAAACGCCACAAACTTGCCCTTGGAACTTGGAGAAAACTTTTTAAAGTTGAGGGATACTGCAAGGCCTCTAATTAAGCACATAATTGGAGATGATAAGTCAAACTCTTTGTGGTATGATAATTGGCATGACCATGGTCCTCTACTCCTCAGGTGGCCACACGAAATCACTGATAGATTTAATTTACCAATTTATGCGAAGGTGGAGGAAATCATAAATTGAAATCAATGGCAGTGGCCTGCCTCAAATTCCATTGACTATAAGGAGATCCTAGCCTCAATGCCTTCTTATAACCCCAACACTCAGGTACCAGATCAAGTCAGGTGATCTGCATCTACTAATGGCCTCTACTCTGCAAAATCTGCTTGGACAAGCATTTATACACCATCCCCGGCCCAGGGTATGTTGGGATAAATTGGTATGGTTTAGCAAGTCCATCTTAAAATGAGTTTCATTTTATGGCCTGCTGTGTTGGAAAGATTTGAGTACAAAGGATAGGCTACAAGTTTGTATGCAACAAATTGGAGTAGCATGTGTTTTATGTAGAGAGGAGGAGGAAAATCAAAAACACCTGTTTTTTAATTGCTGATTTACAACTAGGATATAGTTGAAGGTAATGAATAGATGTGGCATTGCTTCGACTTCCACTCCTTGGCCTCGATTAATTCAAAAAGCCTCTATGTGGTGTGGCAGAACTCTGGAGGTCCTCATTCAGTAATTATGCCTGGCTGCAACGGTCTACATTGTGTGGAGAGAAAGGAATGACAGAAATCTCAGAAATGCATATAGTGATGCGACTTCAATTGAACATGATATGGTGTGCAACAGACTGTTTTCTTTGAAGAACAAGAACACTCTTCAAACAGAGATATAGTTCAAAGAAGGCATATCCCAGGTCCAGAATAATGTTCTGCTTGAAAGCTTCTGTCTTTAGTTTTTTGTTGTTGATAGTCTCACTTACAGATGGTGGGAATCAATCTATGAGTGTATTGGACAGTACTCCCATAGACTGAATCCTTTGCTTTCCACCTTTGTTTCATGGTGGAGTAGACAAGAATGAGATAATTACCTTTGTAAAGGAGGCCACCACGATTAACAACTGACCAAAGGGCATCAAAGGGTTGTACTTGTAGCCCAAAAACTGATAGAAGGGGTTTGAGTTATACTGCTAGTTAATAATCTCTTGACTTTATGATTGCTTGCAGTGGATGGAGTTTCTGAGCAGTAAGTCTCCGAGCATCAACACTTTCTTCCTCTCCATCCTTGAGTCTCCATTCAAATTCTTGGACAAGTCCACCAATTACAGTGCAAGTGTTGTGATCGTGCAGCAATTATGGTGAATAGTAAGGAATCAAACAATTAAGAAAGCAGGAGAAAATAACACACAGAGATTTACGTGGTTCGGCAATGTGCCTACATCCACGAGAGCGAGCGGCCGTTCTTTTCCATTATTGAAGTAGGGTTACATCTTAAGTATTTATATAACCCTAATATGGACGTATTTACAAAAATACCCCTGTACCGTACCGCGGGGGCGTTGCCCCCGCACCCCCAATTAATCAGCGTCCCATTTATATAAATCCCACAAAGCAAATGCCGTCGCGGGCTTCGCTTCACTCCGAGCATCTATCTCCTTGCCATTATGCACACAGCAAATATGAGCCACACATACTCTAACAGCAAAGAAATAGAGGTTGCTTGAAAAGCACCTGCACATACCCTCTCTTTCCCCCCTCCAAAGGCCATCGTTGAGGGAAAAGCTCAAGCGGAACCCAAGTCAAAAAAGAATAACATGCTCGCATCAACAACAAAAAGCGCCAACCAACCAAATCACTAACCAAGTTTGACAGGTCTGGCCAGATCTGGTTTAGTTCAAAATTACAGATTAGACTCAATTTAAAAATACAGATCACAAATCAGAAATACAATCCAACAAAAACCAAACCCATCGTCTTGAAAAACCTAGTTTACAAAGTGATGCACGTCAGATCTCCATCTTAGGAAGGGAATCAGGCATGCATCACAAATCTCAACCACCTCGTTCGTTACACCAACATCACAGACCCACCCATTCCCGTCACCAGGGGGACACCTTAATCAGGCTTCTCGCGATGGCGCCTCCATCAAAGCCCGCTTTGGGGTGTCATGAAGACTGTATTCTCCTATAAATTGTAAACTCCATCTACACATGCGGGCCACCACACACATTTCAGCACACTATACTTTTGAGTAATAGGATTCTTCTGCCACTGTAGTCCTTCCCAGTGGAGTAGGTCACCTAAACCGAATCTACCAAATCTTTGTGTTTGTATATGTTGAACCCTTCTTACTTCATCTATGGATTGATTTTGCATAAACACTTTTATACATTATCAAAATTCATAAACAATATTGACCATCACAAGTTAACCTCTTTTTCTGCCTTTCAATTTCTTGTTCATTCTCCTTTCAAATTTTCACACTGCCTTTGTGGCTTGGAAGGGATGTGCTATTGAGCTACTGCCCTGCCTTAACTTCCACCAAAGTTTTCCTTCATGAATGACCAAGAAGAAGGGTTTCCCAAAATTGTGCACTTGTATTTGGTTCTGTGCAGTCTCTTTTGTGAAATGATAGACATGAATTAATCGATCATGCGGACCAAAGTTCTTCTCTTCTACTGGAATTTCTTCTACCTTTAATGTCCAATATTCATCGTTGATATTCTCAACTTTTTCACCAAGTGGAGGGAATTGAACAAAATAACTATCAATAGAAGATGACTCCTACCCGATGTAGGATGGAGGTAAAGACTACTGTATTGTCTTAGGAAAGGGTGCAGGCCAGCCAAAATCCTTTGTGTTCAGGGATGAGATCCGAATCCTTTGAGTGCAAGGGCTTATATGTGAGGGGGGAAGACGACTCTCAGTCGATGTGAGACGAAGCTCCTGCGGGCACTGAGAGGTAAAGGCTATTGGGGGGTCGCCCGCTACAAAAATGCACCTTTTTTGTAAGGGGTAAAAATCGCTACGGATCTCATCCCTCCACTTGAAGGATTCCTGCTGACCTGGCGGGACCGAGCTCCAGTAGCCTTTACCTCTCTTCGCCAATAGGACCTTTTCCTAAGACAACTCTCTTCCGATATGGGATTGCCTTAGGAAAGGGTCTTATTGGCAAATAGAGGTAAAGGCTACTGGGGTTCGGTGCCGCCAGGTCAGCCAGAATCTTTCAAATGGAGGGATGAGATCCGTAACGATTTCTACCCCTTACACAAACATATAAAAAAGAATGCATTCATAATTTTTCTAAGTTAAGATCCATGAAATGGATAGAAGCTATAAATAAATCTTCCCCAAATAACATAAAATCTAATGTATATGATCTAATAGTATATATGCATACATATATAGATCTTTGTATATGTATGCAAAGAGAGAGAGATAGGAGATTGATTAAAAAATTATGATGATAAATTTGAATTTGATTTTTTTTTCGGGATTAACATTTGATTTTTAGTAGTTTTAGTTTTATTATTAGGTTTTTTTTTTGTTTTCAAAAAATTGAATTGTAGGGCCTTTTAATTTTATGGGTTGAATTAATAGGTCAAATCAACTCAAGTTGAAATATTTTATATGGGCTTATATCTAAGTTTTTTGTAGAGTCCATTTCTTATGGATTTAAAGTTTTTTATTTAGACTATTACCGTACACCTAAAAAATATGAGACCTTTCTTAAAATGGGATCTAAAATCAAGATTTTAGTGGTTAGACTGATCCTGGATGGAACTGGAAATATTCAAACTCAACCTTTGGGAACACTGGTAAAGAACTGCCAGAAACTCCTTGCTGACCCTTATGCTCTGTTTGGTAGGATAAAAAAGTGGAATGATGAAAAGTTAGAAAAATAAATAAAATATCATGTTTGGTAAGAAAGGAAAGTAAGAAGGATGAAAAAGTGGATGAATTAACTTTTCTTCCAACTCACCAAAATCAATCCCTCCAAAATTGGAAGGAAAGTAAAAGGAAAGTTAATTATTTGTGTTAAGATGTATCTTATTTGTCTATATATCTTATGTATACATTAATTTCATATAAAAATACAATGGTAAAATATGTATATATATTTTAAAAAATTTTAAAAATTAATTTTTGAAAAAATAAAAAAATAAAAAATAAAAAATTTAAATTAAAAAAAAATATTTTTCCATTTTAACTAAAGGTGAAAATTTTCGACTCAACACGATGACACGACTCAAACTCGATATAAAAATAAATATGTCA